TATACCATACCATATGATATATATGGCTATATATACACCATACCATACCATATGGTATGGTATATATAGCTATGGTATATATAGCTATATATACACCATAACACATGGTATGGCAATACCATATGCTATGGTGTATATATAGCCATATATACCATACCATATTATATATACGGCTATATATACCATATGGTATGGCTATACCATATATGGCTGCCAAAAACGTGAGAAAAATCACCCAAAACCACAACAGTTGTTTGTTTTCTGTGTATGTGTTGTGTCACTGACTGCAGCAGGAAATAAAGGCTGAATAACTGAATTTATCTATCTTTGTGTTTTATGAAGACTCCTGCACAGAAAATGGAAAGGTCTACGCCAACAAGGAGATGTGGAGCCCAGAGCCGTGTCGGATTTGCATGTGTGATAAGGGCGCCACAATATGTGAAGATGTGGTGTGTGAGGACCTTGGAAATTGTCAGAACACTGTGATCCCAGAGGGCGAATGTTGTCCTGTCTGCCTAACTGCTGGTTCAACGCTTACTCCCAGTACATACACCTCGACTGGTAATTTCATTTACACTCTAACACCGTTTTATGAGTCAAAACAAAGAAATGCACCTTGAAGGAATCACTTGACTTTAGCTAACACAACACGTTAACATTTGGAGTCAACCAAATTCAAAATGACTGCAACAGCAATCTTTTCAAACACAAAATACCTATAACAGAGCCAATTTTACAGATATCGAAGTACAATTTTGTGTGGTAGTCATTGAGAGTCCTTTGCAACACATACTTTGAGTGCTAACAGAGCTCACAATATATATATATTTTAAATCTGGGATGCACGATGGTCGAGATATGCAACTTTTCAAGCTAACGAGCAGCAAAATACAGTATTTGCGTACAGCTTGATTCTTTAAAAAAATTGGGGTATCGCAATAAAAACTAAACTTTGTTAGGTTTTTGGTTATGTGTCAATGTTCTAGTATAGTGTAGGTTTTAGTTACCAGCTCTGTATGCAGATACACACAAATCTGCTGACAGTTCTAGAAAAGCGGAGAAAAAAACATTATAATTATGGCTTTAACATAAATCAGAGCCATTTGAATCTCTTTTAAAAGCTATCCCACAATGAGCTTATATATAAATATAATACAATGATTAGTGAACCTGGCCTATTTAAAATCCACAGGCAAAATCCTAGTTGTTTTAAAGGGTTGCTACACAAGCTGACAATAAAACTCAGTTTTATTATTATCAATGGTCATGAAAGACAGGTAGTCCATTAACTGGGTGTATTTGTGTGTGTTTGTTAAAATCTCTCATGAACTGCTGCACAGATTTTAAAGATACTTTCAGGAAGTAATCACTGGATGTACAGCTATAACTGATCAAGCTTTTTAATCAACCCAATTGAAGATGGCCACCACAGCTAATCAACCCCAGCAAATAAAAAAATGGTTGCAACACAGTCAGTTTTATAGACAGATTAAAATTTGATGTGGTAGTAGCTAAGAGTGACACTCAAGACATAGTGTGTGCTAACCAATCACGTGAGGCCACACCCAACTTATTTTCAAGATTTGACCAAAAGGGCTGTGGAAGTTTTTAACATTGAAAGACAAAGATAGTTGAAAACTCTGGCATGAAAGGAGATATGGAATCCATCAATAACTAGAGACATTGCATTTCCTGTGAAAATGCAGTGTGAATGCTTATTGCTGAAGAACTTGCTGAAAAACAGCTGAAATTAGCTAAAACATGCTGAAATGTAGCTGAAATAGAAGATCAAGTTTAAGTTAGCAGAAGAAAGCAGAAATAACACATATTTGCTGAATTAGATTTAAAGAAGCAGAAATGAGACCAAAATTAGGAAATTAGTTAAAAACAGCTGAAAAGTAGCTGAAAAGGTAGAAAGGAGTGGACAGAGCAAAAAAACAAAAAAAAAAAAAAAAAACATGGAATTAACTGAAAAGGCTAAATTTAACACAAAATCAGCTAAATAGTAGCTGAAATAGCAGAAAAAGCTAAAACTAGCAGCAATAAGCTGAAAGGAGCATAATAAGCTAAATTTAGGAGAAAGAAGTTGATTAGGCTGAAAGTCGCAGAAATTACCACATAAACTTGAATTTATCTGAAAACGGCTGAAATTAACTGCTAAAAATTAGCTGAAAAGGGAGAACAAGCTTAGATTAGCAGAAGTGAAGACTGTAACATTTTGCCATATTTGGCTGAAAAAAGCATAAATTAGCACGAAAAAGTGGAAATTGTCAATAAAAGGCTAAAATTAGCAAAAGAACAGCTGAAAAGTAGCTAAAAAGCAGAAAGAAACTCAAGTTGCCAAAAGGAAGTGGTAAGAGCACAATTTTGCTGAATTAGTCTAAAAACGTTAAAATGAGTGCAAACAATGTGGAATTAGCTGAAAAAGCTAAAATATGCATAAAAACTAAATAATAGCTGAAGTAGCAGAAAATGCTGAAACTTGCAGAAAGAAGTTAGAAGAAGCACAAAAATATTTTAGTTAGCAGAAAGACTATAAAAGGAGTGTAAAACAGATGAAAAAAACAGCTAAAATTAGCTGAAAAATGTTTAAAGTCACACAAAGAAGCTGAAAGAAGCTGAAGCAGAACAAAATGTGAAAGGAGAAGTAAAAAGTTGTAAACAGATCTAAAGACTTGAAGGAGGTAAAATGAACTCAATTCATTTTCTATGAGGAAAAAATAGCATAAAAGGCTAAATATTACAAAAAAACTCAAGTTGCACCAATACCAAAAGTCACAGCACCCTTCTCCTGAATGAGCTGAATGTTTTGATATACGATTTGTTGAAATAGCACAAAAATTGTGGAACAAGAAAGATATAAAAAAATGTACAGAAGAAAAATGGATAACATTAGTGTGAATGTTTCATCAGCATTCACATTATTAACAGATGTTGATTTCAATCTCTTTTTAATATTTTTAATTACAGCATTCACTTCAGTTGAGCAGTTTGATAAAAATCAACCTAAATTCCGTTAAGTTTGAAGTGTTTCGGCAATGTCCTGCTAATACATTTACTTGAACAGCAGCGAAATACAAATCATAAGTTTAAGTTGAACCGAAAAAACATCCACGCATTTTCAGTTTTCAAAAAAATAGTTGCTTCAACTGAATTATTTTTGTGTAGTTTTACAGAGCTAAAACACAGAAAAACTGCCTTGTTTCACTGATTTCTCATTTCTGTGTGTTGCAGCTGTAAGTGATAACGGGGAGAGCTGCACAGTCGACGGGGAAGTCTATCAACACAACGACATCTGGAAACCCACACCTTGTCGCGTCTGTGTTTGTGATAACGGCGTTTCCGTCTGCGACGAGATTCAGTGTGAAACGCTGGCGAACTGCGAGAAGATCGTCACGCCTGAGGGAGAGTGCTGCCCGGTGTGCAACAGCTTCGCCGGCGCAAGCACGAGAATAGGTGAGACATATGAAGAGCTTGGTTTTGTTTTAATTTTGATTATTATCTACAGTTCATTTTAACCCAAGGGCAGCAGGACGGTTAATACAGTAGTCCCTCGATACTTTGCAGTTCGACTTTCGCGGAGTCACTCTTTCTCAGATTTTCAACGTAATATTGTACATGATATAAGATTGGCGATGGGGAAAGACAGACTCCATCCCCTGCCCCTCCTTTCTCTTTCTGAAGCTGATGCGACAGGCTCAGAAAGAGAAAGGAGGCGCAGGGGATGGGGTCTGTCCTTCCCCTTCACTACTATTCAGTCTGTGAGAGCTGATACCAGAGTGTGCGACATGTATTGTTTATTTAAAATCAAGCGCGACCTGAACCGAGCCGTTGGTCCAGCCCCTCTGTGATAACTGAACGGGCCAGGCCACCGAGCAATGTCCCGGTGCTACCGATGGCCAGTCCACCCCCAATGTCGTGCCAAAACGTGAAGATCTGCCAAAAATCGACTGGCGCCACGGGAGCTTTTTTGACCATTAAAGTGCAATTATTAAGGAAAAAGTAAACGGAGACACACCTTTGCTATGATCTCGAGCAAACAAATAATTGTTTTTAGGTGTTAGTCTTGTTAAATATTGAAGAACTGAAACAGCGAGTCCTCTTGTGCATACTCCCACGGCGCCAATCGATTTTTGGCAGACCATCACTTCACTTTTTGGCCCGACAGGTGTAAGAGGGATTGGCTTAGTAACCGTAGCATCAGTCTGTCTGCTCTCTTTCGCTGTACTCTTTTAGAGCGTTCAGAAAGTTTAGAACACTGTTAAGAACATTGCAAGAGGAAGGGTTTATAAAGGGTTTATAAAGAGAAAGGAACACCCCCGCAATAAGTGAGGGACTACTGTATACTTACTTTATATTATTAAGACTAAACAGTGTAAATCAGCTTTCTGAAAACTGACTGATTTTCCTTTTTGTTTATGTTTCATCCAAGAAATGTTGGGCTTTAAGGTAAGATATTTACACAAATGTTTAATATTTACTATGAAACCATAAAAATAATTTCTATAAAATGCTGATGTGCTTCCTTTATAGGGACAGAAAGGTGAACCAGGAGACATCCCTTATGTAAGTCTAACATTTCAGGGAAGTCACCTGTTATTTTTGCAACTTTCATTCAAGAAATAAATATTTATCTATTTGTTCTTTAGACCGTGGGGCTCCCGGGACTTTCAGGACCAACGGTAGGCAACAAGGATGCATCTAATTACTGGACTCAGATACATCATTCATACAAATGCAACTTTTATTTTAAGACACACGGGAGACAAATATGGCCCGAAGGGCAGCTATAACTTTTGGACAACCTCCATCCAACTTGGGTTTTTACAGATTTTTGGAAATCTAATTTAATAGATGTAATAATATTTTCCTGGTCTGAAAATGAATGGGAAAAAAAACAAAAAAAAATAACAAAAAAAAAAAAACCCTGTTTTTTTTGTTTTCTGAATTTTAACAAAAAAAAAAAATCAAACTATAATTAAATAAAATCTAAAATTCAAAAAAGTCCACATTTATTACATCTTCTGTTTGTTTCCCATTTCTATTAACACATTTACATGAAAACATTCTAATAAAAATCTCTGATTACGCAACAACAGAAAATGTGGGAAAAGTGTAATTCCCTCGCCACGCCACTAGTTGGCGCTATGTTCTTTGAAACTTGAAACTCTAAGTGCGCATGCGTAAAAATAAAACCATTCTAAACGTTCTAACGTTTATCTCATGAGAAAACAGCCATAATAAAAGCCCAGGTGATGTCCAATCTGAAAGCAGTCCAGGTAAATTCGATTTATAGATTTATAAAGAGTCAAAAACATAAACAATGCATTGTTAATAGCTTCTTCTTCTGTGGTTTGTAGGAGGGATTCCCTGACAGAAAAATATCTATTTTTTCTGTTTACACAACAACGGACACCAGGACGTTTTTGAATCATTGCACTCTGGAACCCGTTCCCAACTTGTGCCGTTGTCAGAGAAAACATTTGCTGTTTTCGTGTAAACGAACAGTATAAACGCAACAAAACTCTTCCGTTGTCACCATAAATTGTTTTCGTGTAAACAGGGCCTCAAAGTTTGGTCTGTTTGTTTGTAAATCGCTGAAAATTTCAACTAGCGGCATGGGTTCCCAGTCGCTCGACTTATTTTTTCTACGATTATTAAAAGTCGGGCACGTCAACCAAAGACTTAATCGTTGATGCAGCTAAATGTTTCATGATGAGTCTCAACATTCAATTTGTTCCATTTGTTTTGTGACTTTTAGAGTCTGACAGGAAACATTTATTTTAATTATTATTATTATTAGACCTTTATTTATACAGGTAAGTTCCCATTGATTCGAAGTCTCATTTACAAGAGACCTATTACATACAACACAAAACAAATCAAAGCACTGATTAACTGTTTACGATTTATGTCTGCTGAAGGATTATATTTTAAAATCTAAATATTGAAAAATACTGACTTAAATTTTTTTGAACTGCTTTTCTTGTTTGTTTCATTTTGATAAATGCTTGGATCATGGAGCAAATTTCTAAAGAAACATAACTTTGAAAGTTACGGTCCGGACAGCACCACAATACTCCTGCAGCATTTCTCAGGATGATAATAAATAACCCAAGTAAAATTTAGAGCCCGACCGATGTGGAAATCTTGGCTATCGCCGATACCGATATTGGGAGGGGAAGGCTAATTCCGTTAACCAATAAAATTGCTAAAACTTGTTTGTTTTTTTCTTTGTCCAACTTCTAGAATCTAAGTGGAGCTGGGCTTGTTTACTGAGCGCAGCTGTTAGCCATCATGAAGCTAAGCTAATCGGATCCACACTATACCTAGTCCCAAAGTAGGTTTACAAGTGGTGCACTGGTCATAAAAACAGTCTTCCTAATGTGCGTTCACATTTTCTAACCTCCACTATTCACCATAAAGTTATCAAGTGTGTTACATAAATATAAATTAAACAAAGAAACACCCTTCCCTGTTCATTGTTTCAACAGTCAGTCACGTGTGGTGAAGGCCTAATTAGTATAGACCGCATATTTATAGATAAATTAGATTTCTGACTAACAATGAATTTCATCGAGGACACAAAGATCATGCTACTAACACATGTATTTTACCGCTATGTTAGATTAATTGTTCTGGATAAAGTTTTACAATAGCCTATGCTAAGTTATCTAAAATGTTAGCTTGCTAACTTGATAGGCTTGTAGCTAATGACAAGCAGGTTGGAGAATTCAAGAGAATTTATTGTTGTAGATTATTTTAAATTTTTCAGATAAGTTAAAATAAACTTACCATGCTCTGTGCAGCAAAATACGCTACACAGTATTGTTCCCTGCTTCGGCTGTGCTGAAAGTGAAACTTAAAGTGAACGGCCACGACTTGAAAGTAGTCTTCATGCGCCCTCTGCTGGATACATTGTACAATTACGGCTGGTTCTCAGCATTTTAGGGGTGAAAATTAGAAGTATTAGCCAATAATAGGACATTTATCACCGATAAGTCCTGAAACACCTATATCAGCCTAAAATATTGGCCCTACCGATATATCGGTTGGGCTCTAGTGCTACTATTCTGTGAGTTGATGTTTTTATGTTTTTTTTTTTCCTCTCTCCTCCTCAGGGGCCTCCAGGACCTCAGGGACGTGTCGGATCAAGAGGCTTTAAAGGCCGACGGGTAGGTCTGAATCGACAGATTAGCTCGTTTTAAATCACAGACAAAAATGTTAATTCTACTCATTTTAGTTTTGATGCGTTAAACCCAGAAGCAAATTTTTGATTTTTCTAGTTACTGCCATCTGGACAAATAAAACAATTGTGGTTCAAAATGCATGAAAAGCCCCAGTTGTTTAAACTCGGGTTTTATATTTGTTTATTTTAATATTCATGCATTGACACTGTAGAAAATCTTGATATGAGAGGATCCAACTTTATTTTCTTTCTTAAGTTTTATTCACATTTAAATATAATTATTGACCACAGATTATTGATATTGTTAGACTTTTCAGAATATTTATACTGTTGAAAATCATTTTAGGCCAGTGTTGTGATGATACAATGTAGCTATATCAATATGGCTTTACTAGAAATAAAACTTAATCAGTTCAGATTATTTACCTTATTTCCTTTTTTTTTCCATAAAACTTCTAAAAAGTAAATATTCACGATTGAAAACTATGTAAAGGTGGTTATTATAGAAAAATTTGAACGTCAAACATTCGATATTTATCGTTTCGGAAAGTTTCCGCTGAAAGAAACGACTTTAATGCTAAAACAAAAACATAGTTGTGGTTGGCACTTGTTTAAATTTAGTCGAACACAAAATTTATCTAATTTTGTCTCAGTTTATCTTCTGTCTTTAATAAATATTTACAACTAGACAAATAGGAACCAGAGGTAAATTTATGTTCAACCTATAGCTGAT